CAATGGGCTGCGAATGTGATTCTAGACTCTATACAAGTCTTGAGCATGCTTGTAGCATCAGCCTTTTATTAGATAACTTGCTCCTAAACTCGGGCAACGAGAACATCAGCCCCTGCAACACAGACACAGACTGTTTCCCTCACGGCGGAGGCCGTGACATGTTCTCGCCGCGCATTCCGAGAACAGACCAATCTGCCACCAGCTGAGGCAGCCTCGGTTCCGACAGTGGGGCTGGGATCATGATGACGTTTTCGACTTTATGCGAACGTTTGACACCATGGTCCTTCCGGCTGCTTGTCTGACCCTTTCATCTTCCGGGGGGTGCCCAGAGAGTTGCCAGTGTTGCCCAGGAGCTGAACAGTTTCTTTGGTGGGCCTTCTGGTGGATGAGATTTGCGGCCCAGGTTGGGTACCTCTTCAGGAATTACTACTGGCTGCGCAGCACCAGCCCCAGAGCTTGGACAGCTGCACAGCATACCAATCTTGCTAACCCCCACCCTTCATGCACCGTGCTCCTGGCAACCCGGCAGCCTGCAGAAGCCTCACCCAACAAGACTGCCAAGCGAGGTCTCTACAAGTTCGGCGCTGTGGCAGCAATCAGGAACCAGAGCTTGGAAAGCTGGGTTCGAGGGTCTCAGATGAGGCAAAGTCATGCTTGCACGCACCTGTCAATGCAATTGTCTTCGACGATCAAAGGGGGGCGCTGGGATATCTTTGCACAAAAATAGGGAGTTGCTGGGTTTAGGGGCCCGTCGCGGCTGACAGGTGACCGAGTCCGTGTGAGAGAGAGAGAGGGGTCGAATATCATCTCATACTGTGCTATGTCGGTCCCACTCACGTAGATATCATACCGAACTTGCCCCCAAAGACCCCATAACACATGGGGGGCCACAAGGCCAGGGGACTTTACCCGTCCCCTATGCCCAATGAAAGAATGAAAGAAAGGGGTTCGGGCCCCTGGTGAGTTTGGAGATTAGGCGTCCGGTCGCTCCTGAAGACGCTGAAGTTTGATGCGGAACATCCGCTACAAGTTTGGTTGCCTCAACTCCTCGCGAGGCTTTGCCGCAGAAGCATTAGGGCATACGGCTTCTGGCTCTCTCCCTCGGGGGTTGACATTGAAGGTCCGTGGGATGTCTTGGGTCTTGGATCTTTTTCCATCTTTGTCAGATGCAGCCACTCCGATGTGGACTCTGGAGCAACGTCGGCACGGTTCGTGTGATACATGAAGCCGCGTCGTTCCGGGCAAAGTCATCCGGAGGCGATTTGACCGGTGCCTGTTTGCCGGGACATGGCCAAGGCCTTTGATCTTGCTGGCGCTGATGCTTCTCGTGCTGCTCGCAAGGCAGGGTCCCCACCATGAGGATGGTGGGTTTCTCGTGGGCCCACTCGATGACTTAGCTACTTGAGTGGTTTCTGATTTGATGGACTCGCAGCATGCAGAAAACTTGAGGTGTCCAGTCTCCAGTCCCTCCGACCCCAAGCTGGATGCAAAGGTGCCTTCTGGCATGCTGTCGGTGCTGCTGCAAGTCCAGCAAGGCGACCTTGCAGAACGGTCCATGTGGATCTTCATAAGGAAAGTAGACAGCCCAGTTCGATGTGACTTCCTGATTGTGCCAGCGAGGGAATCCAACCCAGAGAGAGTCGGGAACCTTCTTTGCCTAGTTCGATGCGCATCAAGGTGACAGACGTGAAGAGTGACAAGAAGAACTCGTGAATTGCGAGTATTGTTGCAGTCTTCACGCAGGCTGTCCGACCGAAGCTTGATATGTCATAACTAGTTTCGGGCGTATCCTTCGCAATGAAGCTCTTTCGGCCAACGCGGTGTGTTTAAAGTTTAAGCTTGACAGCAGGAAGCATGCACCTATGATGGTCGGCGGCAGCGGGCACTCGAGAAATCTTAAGCGTCGAAAGCGTGCGTGACTGCTTGCTCTCTTTGTCTGCCAATCGCTGCCTGTCGGCGGGCACCTTAATTAGTGCAGACATGGAGAATGCGCCAAGAAGTGCAAAAAGAGAGGGTTCCGAGGCCACGCTGGCAAAGACTCATGGGGCTCTGAATCAACAGTCATATCTTTGACAGCGCCTTTGTCGTTCCTCGTTGTTGCAAGTCGCAACTTAGAGCTGGATTTGCTGTTGCCGCTTGAGTGAAGCTTGGTTTGGAAACGCACTCGAACCCCTGATCCTCCGCGAGTGCATGCCAGGACCCGCGGGAGGTGCAGAAAAAGTGGGGAGCTGAGAATTTCAGTGGTGACAGCGGTTTCGGCAAGATGGGGAAAGCAATTTTAATGCTGATGCTCCCCGGCTTGCCACCTCGAACTCGGAGGATGGTACCCCTCTTGGTGCACCTGGTCGCACAGCTCAAGGCTTCCGACTTTTTTGACGAAGTTTTCAGGGGAGCTTCTGGATCGTGCGAAGATCACCCAACATCCCGCCGCCAGTGCTCTCCAGCCTTGCTGGCAGGAGCTGCCTCCAGGCGGTTTGGCCTGGGTGCAGTAGCCTCAGGCAGCAGAACAGCGACAGCCTGGCAACAGCTTTCCGATTTTGGAGCCTAGGTTAGGTTTCAACGTCTGCCTTTCATAAGAGCGAGTTTCCTGCTCTTCACTTGCCCGCACGCGATTGCTAGCATTTGTTTGGCACAGCCAGTTGCCGGCAGACTTGAGGGTCCATCCCGTACCTACAAAGATTGAAGAGCAGTGGGAACGTAGAGGACACGGTGCTCTCAAAGTATCCGACACCTTGAAGATGTTGTCCCGACTCCGGTTTCGAAGGAGGGAGCCAAGAACTCAGAGCGATGCTGAGGCCCACAGGATGGCGAAAGCGCTCCTCGTGGGCTGAGAAGGCAGCTACGCGTCGGGGCTCTGTAACGCGTCGGGGCTCTGTATATCTGCACGTTTATACATACATACACGCACACACACACACATATCTATATATATATATAGGTATATATATGTATAAGATAGGTAGCTAGCTAGATAGATAGATAGACAAACAGACAGACAGACGGACAGAGATAGATAGAAAGACAGACAGACAGACAGATATATACATATATATAAGGATAAATAAATATAACTAAACACATAAATAAATAAATAGCTAAATAATTAAATATAAAGATAAAGATAAAGATAAATATAAATCTAAATATAAATATAAATCTAAATATAAATATAAATATAAATATAAATATAAATATAAATACAAATAAATAAATAAATAAATAAATAAATAAATATATATATAAATATAAATATATATATATATATATATTATAGAGAGAAAGTACATTATATGATGTGTACATGCATGTTTCTATTACCTTAGATGCAATGTATTTCTGCTGGCTCTGACAATGCTGTTCACCGTGCACTAGCAAAAGGCCACAACGAACCCGCATGAGAACACAGAACACTCACCTTGTTACTGGGACTTGTTAAGAAAACTCTCCAGGCAGAGGCAGAAGATGGCGGACACTGCATGCTCCTCATCCTTGCCGGGACCCCTGTCCGGTGGGGTTTGGTGTTGGCTGGCCTTTCGGCCCGGCATCCGTCAAGGATGAGGTGGAATGTTTAGTCGGCATCTGGTCTCAGCCGACGAGCTTTGAGCAGCCATGCAGAGTTAATAGAGGCATTGAAGAATCACAGGCCCATAGGATTCGAAGTATCCTGTCGAGCCTGTCGGGGGTTCAAGAAGCCTTCAACGAATCCGCATTGCAAAACATTGCAAAACTTCCGTCTTGAATTTGTCAAGCGAAAGTGTATTGACAGCGATGCAACACCCGATCGCCAGCCAACTGGCAATGTTCTGTTCAGGTCCGGCATCTCACCGACGAGAACTTCACTGTTGCTGTCGTGAACACCGGCGACGGCTTGCAGCCCGGGCCCCGGCTCAGGCAGTTGTTCCTGTGATTTTATATAGATTTCATCGTTCCTTAGCTTTCAGCGCTACGACGGAGTGGCTAGGTTGTTGGCCTCTTCGCGGGCATCTGCAGACCAAGTGCGGGCAGTCTTTTCGTTTCCGGCTCGTTCCGGCCGAGGTACCATCCACTCCGTGCCAGCGGAGAGGCGGCGGTCTCTGATGCCACAACCTGTAATGCTACTCTAGATGTCATGAACTTGAATCGAGGCCTGCCGTAGTTCCCATGAAGAAGGAAGCCGAATACGTAATTCCGTCGAATCTCTGCAAGAGCTTTTCCTGGGAGGCACCGAGTCCCGAGCTCGCCACGCGGCAGTGCCCCCTCGCACACCGGGCTCAGTTTCGCGTTATCCAGCAGAACCGGAGTCAGTCAGGCAGAGCCGTTGTTACGACCTATGTGCCTAGGCAGTCTAAGCAGGACGGGCAAGTTGAGGATTCGCAACGATTGCCAGGTCTTGACAGACGTTCCTGCCAAGCGTATCACCTGCGGAACGCCGGGGACTGAGTGCTTGTTGAGTCATGAGTACTGCTACAATGAAAGACATTGCTCAGAGCATTCTTTCTTTCTGGTACTGGCACTGCACTGCAGGGTCCTTTGTAGACAGCAGGAACCAGGGAACCACACCCAGAATGCCAGCATTCTGATAAGCGGACAATGCTGCAGTTGTGAAGGTTTTGGTATCTTCTCTTCCGACAGTTTGTCACTGCCTCAATTCGCGCAACCTGCGATGGATGAGAGGGGACAGCCGGGACTTTTGCCAGTTGTATGTGCGGTCCTGCGAGGAGTTTGTTTGTGCGGCGAGTTGCGATCCCACGAGGGAGCTGTTGAAATCTTGCCTGCTGCAAGTCTCCAGTCTCGAGAGCTAGAACCCCACACCGAAAGCTTGGGTGACTCAGTATTCGTACCATTCTGCGTTCCTCGTGAGTGCTCCTTGCTTGAAATTGCCCCGAACTGCTTCCGGCAGAGGTGCGGCCACAAACTTCAAACGGCCCGCAGCTTTTGTACAGCACACTGCTGCCAGCAGGGTCCTGGGCTTTTGCAATGTCCTAGCCGAGCTGTGCTGCTCACAACCACAATGCTTTCAGATGCTGAAGAAGCAGCCCCTGGCTGCGGACTTTGGTGTCGAGCCCGGTGGCCCTGGGCTGAGAGGGCCGCAATCAGAGATGCGAAGTGCCCTGAACGTCTGCTGTCGTTTTTCTGTGTGGTTTCTCCGATCAGTAGAGTGCCGTTTCGTCCGCAGGAGGAAAGTCCTAGTGCAACATGAGCAGCCGAAGCCTTCGGAAGCGGCAACCAATGACCAAGTCTCAAGACTGCTTGTGCAAGCCAGCGGAAGCCCAACGACTTCCGTCCTACGCTGACAAGACGAGACAATCCCCCACAATGCAAACTATTCTTTGCCTGCGACAACCCTTGGCCACGCTCGGCCAGGTTGGGTAGAGTTTTGTCCGGTGCCAGTAGCCGGAGATGGATCGTTCATGCACGGCCCTCGGCCTGATTGTGCTTTTCCGCCTGTTCCGGTACTTGGGCGTTGCCCGAGAATCGGGTTAAGGGTAGGAGCCGCAGCTGGCAATGACTTTGACCATGCAGATGTGCTTCTGAGCTCTGCCCGGCCTTCCCTGAGAGAGATGGTCCACTCCAGGATTTGCTTGCTGCGGGCCGCAGCATCCTCGGCACTAGCAGGTTGCAAGTTGAAGCTGTTAATTCTGCTTGATTCTCGGAGAGAAATGTCGGTATGTTGAAAACCAAAGTCGGTTTGTTGCATAGTAGTGTTCAAGGATTGGTAATCACACACAGCTTTAGGTACTCCTGGGTACAGGAGAGAGAGAGTGCCGTAGGTCCACTATTTCGAAGGTTTGTCGTAGGTGTCGGAGATGGTCCAACCGACGATGGGGCTTCACATGTGGATGTCGGAAGCAGTACACCGCGGCGGAGTACTGGCGGATCCGTGTATCCGCATGCCAGGAAGAAGTATCGTTGTAGAGTCGTAGATTTTCAGGGGTGGAGAACAATAGTAAGAATGACGGACGACGAGCCTCCTGTCAAGAGCGTCGCAAGCTGAACATAGCTGTTTCTTCCAGCTGAGAGCCTTTTGACATGTTTTGATGTTGACGAGTTCTGTTGGTCGTGGTGTGCACGTGTGCACTGAATGACATATTGCGAGCATGCTTTGCCAATTGCAGCCTGTGTGTTGCTCGAACGTCTGAGTTTTCGCAAAGTGAAGGCAGCCGCGTCCTATACTTGCATTGCCCATGGCGTTGTGATTGTGTCCGTTGCGCCCTTTGATACATCGCAGTCAGTGCCAGCAGTTGCGTGCAGACCTGTGCACCCTTGGAAGCTGAGAGTTTGATGTTGTGTGCGTTCGTGCCGTAGCTTGCTTAAAGCATCACTAGCAGTGTGTAGCCGTGAGCCCAGTGTTTGTGTGTCGTGCTCGCGTGCGAAAACAGGTTATGGGCGAGATGTCAGGGCCTTTGATGCAGGCAATGCGCGACGCTGGCCTGGCTGACAACTTGCAGCAGTACGTCCTCGGCCGCGACATAAAGTCCGTCGAGGTCATGGCATCCATCGCGAGCAAGATCGAAGAAGTGGACGAAGTGCTAGCCGATCCACTAGCGTCTGCATTCCGCCTCCCCGATGGCTCGGAGATCAAGCTTTCGAAACTGGAGCTGCCCATCGTCAAGGCTAAGCTCCGGTTCCTTTGGCGTAAGTGTTATCAAGAATGCAATCATGTGGTCGAGTCGTCGAAGCCGTCCCCGGCAGCCGTGTCCACTTCCACGTCAGCATTAAAGTCGTCACCCAAGGAGCTGCCCAGCGGGTACTGGCAGCAGCAAGTAGCGAAGTTCGAAGCAGTGAAGATTGGTTCCGAGGCACGGAAGTTTCCACAAGAGAAATTGATCGGAGCAGAAGCGGTCATCGCGCGCGTGGTGCACGAGATACGGACTGAAAGCCACACGGCGATCGGTTTGCATGAAGTTGTGCAGTCCAGGTATTTCGATGCTTCCGGCAACCCCAACCCCTTGAGCGCCGCCAAGAAGAAGAATAAATCCCAAGCGGCCGTCCTGACCATCAACGCCGACTATCAGATTGAAACGGAGGCAGACATCCCGTGGCAGCCGAAAAGTGTGCTTGCGTTTGTTGATTGTCTAGAATCGATTCGCCTCCTCTTGATCTTGGTGGAAATGGGCAGTGAGGCGAGCGTTGAGCACTATTTCAACTGGTTCGACAAGCAAGTGCGATCCAGGCCCCACAAGCTTGAGCAGTTGCGCGTGTACTGGGAATCAACATCGTGGCGCATTGCGCTTGCCCTGAGGGCCAAGCAGAGCTTTAAGGCGATCGTAGAGGAGATCATCCACGACAACCAGTCCTTGCAGGACGCCTTGTCGAAGGAGTTTGTGTTGCAGCCAGTGGGTCGTCCTCTACGCGGTCGAGGCGAGCAATGGGACGGCAAAGGCAAGGGCAAGACAAAGACGAAGACGCGTGGCGGCAAAGGCTCAATGATCGTCGTTGGGACAAGCGCTATGACCGCTATGACACCGCGAGACAGAGTCCGTATGGATGGACTCCAAACAGTTGGTCGTCGCCGTCGTGGCAGGGATCTTCGTGGTCGTCGTGGCAGCAGAAGCAGTCCCAGTTCGCGCAGGACGATCGCAACGTGCAGAAGGAGTAGGGACAGCGCGGGCCGTCCGAAACGCACCACGTCTCGGGCGGACCCGGCCTTGCCGCCCAGCAATCGACAGTGAAATTAGTGTCAGCAGCTGAGGTACAGGTTGCAGAGCGTGAGAAGAAGCGAAGGCACTCTGATCACCGCGAGCCTTTGCAGCGGAAGGTGCACAGGCGTGAGTCGGCGTGAGTCCAGCAACAGCGTTCCTGTGGATGCCATTCTGTTACTTCTGTTGAGCTTCTTTGATGGTGTTGGCAGCGCAGGGCTTGTCTTTCAACAGATCTGCCAGGAGAAGTCGTGGACAGGCCGCATGCTGTTGTGGGAGACTGACCGTGACCTCGTGAAGTTGACCGCAGAGCGTTTTCCGGAAGCAGAACATCGTGGCGACGTCGACGCTGACAAGGCCTGCAAAATTATCGAGCGACTCGAAGCCATCGACCCCGAGCATCAGGCAACCATCATCATTGCTGGGGGTCCGCCGTGCCATGACTACAGTCGAATTCGTTCCGCGCCTCCCGGCGCCAAGGGAGAGGAGGGATCCAAGTTCCTCAGATTTGCCCAGTTGGTCAAAGAGCTCGAGTGCAACTGGGCCTGGCCACAGGCAGTGGTGGTCGTCGAGAACGTCGTGCCGCAGAATAAAGCAGACATCCGAGCAGTCGAGCAGGCTTTGGCGTGCCAAGCCGTCATGCACGACTCGAGCGATTTTGGCGTTGTGTCTAGGCCAAGATTGTGGTGGACGAGGATACCGTGGCAGCAAGTTAGCCATCGACGTGATTGTCCAGCTACGTTGAGATGGTCCACGCATCAGGGAGTGCCTCGAGTCACCTTTGCGGTCGCGCCAGACAGCCTTGATGCCTATGAGCTGGGTGGTTTAGATTGGCCTAGTGTTCTTCGAGATCGAGCAGGCGTTCTCCCTTGCCTGACAACACCAGCCGAGGATCCGGCTGGCAGGCCGGCTCCTCGCAGCATCAAGGGCAAGGTTGACAGCCAAACTCAGGCACGCTGGTTAGCAGACAACAGGAGCTATGCCCCGTGGCACTACCAGGAGAAGAACATGTTCACGGACAAGCATGGGGCATTTCGCTTGGCGACTGCCGAGGTCAAGGAACAACTTCATCATCTACCTTGTGGGTGGACCGACAAGCTCCACGACAAAGCACGACACCGAGCAGTTGCAAATGGATGGCACCTTCGCGCGGCAAAGTACTTCTTCTTGTTTGGGTTGTTGTCAACAACGAGTGATGCACTTCGTCAGCAACCAAATCCATTGGGTGCCGATGCCATACAGTGTATGGTAAGTATATGGGAATCCGCGCCGCTCCTCAACGGGCCTGGTGTCCCCATGTTAGCCGAGGCCGTCGATATATCCCTCATCGATGACCCTTACGAGCACTGGGCAGCGTCAAGAGGCTGCCTACATCCTGTGCAACAGCCACCGCCCTTGGAGCCAGGCCTGCAGCAGTGGCTGCCCATTTGGTTGCACTACCGCAAGGTCCTACCAGAGATGCGCAAGGCCGTCACCCTGGCAATTGCGGATCTCGTCGCAGAGCGCGGAGACGAGACTGCAGAATGGATGCGACAGCGACCGCCGCATGTGCAGAAGGCTTACTCCTTCGAGAATGGCAAGGCGACCGTGCAAGTGCCCGTCATCAAGGAGTTGAAAGGACCCGGACATCTTCGACGAGCTGGAGAACGGGTTTCCGCTGCTTGGTCCCATAAGAGCCGGCCTCGGGTGGCGATTACGACATGACGGTCGATACGACAACCCCACGGCGGTCCCGGACTTCCTCAAGGAGAACTATTCGTTCGTGAAGGCAAAGTTGCGCAGTGCTCGTGTCGACAAGGACTGGCAGGTGATGGCCGACGAGATCGCAGCGGACGTCAAGCGAGGCCGTATGGAAGGGCCGTTTGAAATGCCAAAGTGTTGGGGCGTCCGAGCAGTTGCGTTGCCCCAGTACCAGCACACGTCGAAGTTGCTGCCTGGTCCAGCTGAGCATGTCCCATGTTGCTTTGCGTTTGCAGTTCACCAGATTGGTGCAGATGGTCAGCCGAAAGTGCGTCGTGCAGAAGATTGGCGGAGATCGGGAGCGAATGCTACAGTTGGAGTTCCTGATTCTCCTGCTTATCATGACATCACCGCATTCGTGACGTTGGCAAGAGCAATTCGGGCCGAGGTGTCGAGTGGCGATGCGTTGGAGTTGTGGGGTTTAGGATCATGAGGCAGCGTACAGACAGTTCCCGGTCGAGGAGCCGAGCGACACATGGGTGATTTTGTCAACTCCCGCAGGTCCAACATTGTGGCGGCACAGTGTACTCATGTTCGGAAGTACAGCATCCGTGTGGAGCTACTGCAGAGTAGCCGATTTGATGGCCTGGCTGTGCAGAGCGCTCCTCCTCGTCCCGCTCTTGCATTTTGTGGACGACTTCGGGTCCAACGAGACGAAGGCGACGGCCCCTTCGGCGTTCAGCGAGACCCAGTCGACTTGCAAGGTACTTGGCTTAAAGTTCAAGGATGTCAAGGCCCAGCCACCAGCGAAGACGCAGAAACTCTTTGGCGTGTCTTTGACCCTCGAGCATGACAAGGCAGTCGTTGAGTGCACTGACGAGCGGAGGCAGCGTCTTGACTCTATGCTGCTGCAGATCCTCCTTGACAACGAGTTGAAGCCACATCAGGCATCTGCGTTGGCCGGCAAGCTGCAGTTCATTGCGCAGTCCATGTTCGGCAAGGCCAGCATTGCCGCAGTGCGTCCGTTCCATCAGCGTGCCCAAGCAGCAGCTTTTCGACCGCAGCAACAGGGTTGGCAACTTAGTTTAGGATTAAGGTCTGCCATTGCTTACTTGCGTTACCGGCTCGCGTTTGCCAAGCAGCGCGTACTGCACTTCCACGTGGACTATCGTACGGTGATCTACGCCGACGCTTTCTTCAATCTGGGAGGCCTCACCTACAGGTTGTCTGAAGCTGAGAGTGCTCCGGACTGGGGCAAAGCGAGTCCAGCCTCCTTCGTCAACGGCTTGGGGTTTGTAGTGACCGTTGGGGACATTACCTTCTTTGCGAATGGCAGTGTGCCGTACTGGTTTGTGCGTCACTTCAGCAGTCGGCGATCCTTCATCTTCATGCTGGAAATCCTCGCGCAGGTGATGCCATTGATGGCTCTTGAGCCTCGCCTTCATAGGCACTGTCTTCTCTTCGTGGACAATGAGCCGGCCAAACATGCTCTCGTCAAAGGGTACGGGAAAGACGAGAGTATCAACAGGCTGCTTCAGGCGGCCTGGATCTTCATCGAGAAGGCGCAGATCATCCCGAGTGGCAGCGAGTCTCCAGCTCGGCCAATGTGTCCGACTCGGTGAGCAGGGGCGATTTTACGCTCGCAGCGCGCATGGTTTGGCAGCGCTTCGATGTCGACTGGGACGCACTGCTGCGCGGCATGCTGGACACTTGCCTCGAAGGGCCGTTGAGGGGCTGTGAAGGCTCTAGGTGCGATTGAATGGCTGCAGGCGTCGCACCTTTGGGTGGCAGGTGGTCTCACATGCCCGGCGTTTGAAGACCGGCACGATGAGACCAACCTACCGCCGCCTGCCGATGATCGCAGCAGAACAGGGCTTTGCTGTCGCATGTTCCTCTTGTGCATAGCTGTGCGAGCATGTCGTGGTGTGCACGTGTGCACTGAATGACATATTGCGAGCATGCTTTGCCAATTGCAGCCTGTGTGTTGCTCGAACGTCTGAGTTTTCGCACCTGCCCACTCCGCCCAAATCGGTGGGGTGGCAGGTGGTCTCACATGCCCGGCGTTTGAAGACCGGCACGATGAAACCAACCTACCGCCGCCTGCCGATGATCGCAGCAAAACAGGGCTTTGCTGTCGCATGTTCCTCTTGTGCATAGCTGTGCGAGCATGTCATCGGTTCCCAGCTTCTCGACTCTACAGAGTCCCCGAGGCCCAGGGCCTCAACGTTCAGTCGCGAGGGCTGTCGGATCATCCTTTTCTAGCATACCCGATGTGTGAAAATCCCTGCGCAAGCAATGTGAGACATGTTTTTTCTTGGCCTCTCTTCATGATGTCAGCACCTGAGGGTTTAGCCTCGAACCGCGAAGTCGGCATGCTTGGCTCACGACGTAGTGCCGAGGTTCGCTTCTGTTTGCGGGCCTGTGGCGCCACAGAGGAGACCGCAGCCTGGAGCCAGGCAGGGGTGTCATCTACGTACTGCATTGCCGCTCGAGGAGCCCTCTCGAGTAGTCGCTGCAATAAGACCATCACCAATAGCATTGTCACAGCATCATCAACACAGCGATCCGCATGACAATCCTCATGTGCTTCTCCGTGTTCGCCATCAGTACCTAAGATCAGGAGCAGCTCGCCGTCCTTCACCAGCAGAATTGTTGTTACCACTATCAATATTGTGGGGATGGTCTCAGGAGGAAGCCGTCGTCGCAGGAGCACCAATGTTTAGTTAGCTGTTCGTGGCATGTCGTACCGGTGGTATACCGTACCCTGTGTTTTCATCATACCTGCACAGGCAGCAGGTGTTTGTAGTACAGTAGAGGTAGGTAGCAGCAGCACGACAGCGAGCTACGATAGCAGCACTAGGATTGGCTTCTCCATGCGTCCATTAAACGATATTAAAAGTAAACTGCATGTCGTGTTTGATTTGTTGGTGCTCATCTGCAAGCATACAGGGCCTTGGGCTTGCGAATGATGAAGGTGCAGTGCCAGCGCTATGCCGGGGCCATGGAAAACCAGTCGGCACAGAGAGCAGACAGCTAAAGCTCAGCCGGAATCATGTGAATGTGAAAACCGCCGAGTATTTAACAATATTCAGGAAGCTGCGTGTAGCATGTCTTTTTTTTGCTGCGGTGAGGAAGGTGGTCAAAGGATGTATTAATCGAATCTTCTCATTGAACTTCTCATGCGGGATCGTAGCTTGCATTAGCTTGCGAAGCCTATTGTACACCTCAACAACTTCAGGTTCCAGCGTTACCGAGCGATTTCTGCCGGACCGGATGTGAGTCTGACTCCTCTGTGACTTCCATCCGAGAGCTGCCGCACTCTCCGAAGACTGTCGACTGGTCTGAGGGCTGAAAGAACAGTTGCAAAGTGCACCTCGTCAAGTGCACCAAGGCCCTCTCCGCCATGAGCCGAGCGCTTGGCTCGTCGGCGACCTGCCTCGGGGCCACTCGGCTTCCGATTCTCTCACAGAAGCTGAAACTAGCGCACCCACTATTCTCGAAACTATTGGGCTGTGCACCGCCATGCGTGGATCCCACCATCCGATCTGAACTCCCGAGGGCCTGTTTTTGACACCCTTTCAGGAGACTTTTGATAAGTCTTTTTTTCGATGCAGCTGTTCATGTCCTCAACTTGAAAAGCTTAGAGATGCAAAAATGTGGGTTGCAAAAACCCAGGCCCCATGGCAGTCCCTTCTGAAAGCTTACTCCTTCCAGGCAGGGGAGCTTGCCATGGTTCGATGCGCCAGCGTTTCCGTGGCCCGAGAGCCTGGCGTCCTTGCTGCAAGGGCTTGGACAGAACGGGACAGGCAGCACATCCAGAAAAGATCGTGGCATTTCAAGCATATCTTACAGCATGAAGGTTGAACAACCATTTCAATTTCATCATTTGCCCGGTCTCGAGCCTCTGACGGCTGGCAAGTCTGCGCAGCTAAGCTTGGCGAGCTGGGGGGTAGCGCGGAAGGGCAGGGAAGTTGAGCGAGGTAGTCAGAGATTGCAGGCTGCCAGCACCCTGCAAGGTTGGGTGTTTTCCAGACCTCAGTTAAAGCACCTTGTCCGTGATGGTATACGGAGGTCTCGCTCGATTTCTCTGAAGTTCTCGACCTGGCGTTGTGCATTTTGTGCAAACCACAAGCCTGCACATCGGGCTGCCATGGCAGGTGCGGCTGCATGCCATGCTTCGAGCCAAGAAGATTGCGACTTTTGGTTTCTTGTTATGACCATATAATTTTGGGTTGTTTGTATTACTTTTGCGATTGTTGCCTCCTCTTCTCCCGAAATACATCGTACAGGTCCACAGCCACAGGCTCTTGGCAGACATATTGGCTAGCCGTCCCATGAAGCTATCAAGCACCCTGTGCTGCCGATGTGTCAGGCAGCCGTTGTTCAATCAGTTGAGGGAGGTGCATGCTGTAGGAGAAGCTGCTTGATGCTTCCCACTCGGTTCCTCGCTCGCATGTGGCACTCAGGTCGACCGGAACTTCCGACATGTTGAGCTCTGCTGGCTTCCAGAGGAACCAACACGAGATAACACGAGCATCATGAGAGGAACTGTCGTATCTGTCACAGGTCGAACCTTACTTTCGCTTGTGGTCAGAGGTATCGAAGCTGCCAGGTTTGGCGAGAAGTTTCGCAGCTGGGAGTTGGATGCTGTGCGTCAGCTGGTCCAAAGAGTCCAGGCCAGATTTGGGTGCCATGCCAGGCTTCCAGGATTCCAGGGTGTTGCTGCAGCGAATCCCTTTTGGAGTTCTAGTGGTCCAACCTGAGATGTTTGCCTCCACTGAAGGTGCTGTCGCAAAGTTAGACACTGTTTACGGAGGGCGATGGACCCGAAGAACAGTTCGAGACCAGCCAGCAGCGCGCCCTCTTTGTATTCATTTCGCCTCTCAGGACGAGTGTTGGAAGCGAGAGAGTTCCGAGCGCGATGCTCGTACAGCCTTCGCCTGAAGACCAGATCGCGGGGGGCGTGCACCGGTTGTCACTAGACGGGTTTTGTGCCTCTGAACCCTCCCCTGGACACCTGCATAGATTATAGATAACAGCGGGTCGAAACTCGGTGTAAACTGTTAACCAAACCCTATCCGGGTTCACGTTGTCGCACTTCCCTAGTCCTCCAATACGTGCTTCTCGTGCTTGCGTCCTCGCTATAGCTGCCAACGGTTTCTTCCTTAGTTCACGAGGTCCAGAGAACTTTGCCCTTCGGGTCAGGGGGTTGCACACGAATCCGAAGCATTGGCCTTGCAGTGATCGGAGTTGGCGGGCGACAAGCCGGCTGAGGTTTTACCACCAGCCTGCCCCATGGAGGTGGTCTCAGGTGCGAAATTAGTGTCATACGCACGTGCAGTCTACAGTGATCAGTTGAGCTCTACCAGGATGCTAAGATCGCTCCCAGGCTAGAGACGTCTGAGATGCATTGTTGAGTCAAGAAGGCGGGCGGCCTGCGCATGAGCTGCTGTTCAACGATTTCGAGCGGCTGCTGGACACCCTTGCGTCATGTCACGACTGTCTCAGCTACCTCAGCATGCATGGCTACAGTGCCCCGTCGGCATCCTTCCGCTCTAGTCGCCCTTGCCCTCGCATGATTGGTACATGAAGTCGCACCACAGCTATGGCTGAATGCTCTACGAGTAATCGGTGCGTGCTGGATGCTTCGAGCAGGGATTGCTTTCTATCAAAGGCTCAAGGCTGCTAGCACCATGGGTGCACATACAGGTTCGCAAACCAGTGTCGCCTCCTCCAGCTCCCGTCGTCTTGCATATCGATCGCATCTTTGGGTTTCGCAGCTTGAAGTTATGGGTCTTGTTGCACGTGAGGCTTTAGCTTCAGAATTCCAGTTTCTGCCTCTTTCCTCCAAGCGGGGCCATGTCGTCATACTTAGTCGAGGGTGGAAAGGCCAACAGCCCACGGGGCCACGGAAGTGTTGCTGGCAGTTCAGGAGGAGGATGTCGAACACCTCAAAGGGCAGGCCGGCGTTGCTGGAGCTTCCGGTCAGACAGCCTAAGCATGCATAGCATGCATAACTCAGGTGGAGCATCTACGGATAGAGTAGGTTCCAGGTTGTCCAGCATTCTAGAGGTCTTATACCTGTCTGAGAACCGCGACAGATGGACTGGCGGAGGTGGATCCTCCTCGTGTTTCCGTTTCAGTTCCTACCAGCGAGCTGCCTGTGGCGGGGGCCTCGGGCGACTGCTCAAACCCAGCTGAGAACCCGAGGTAGTATTGCCCAATGTGCCGCAGAGTCTACGAGGGTAGAGGCGACAAGATATCACAGCGAGCTGCTGTTCTGGATGCATCCCGGTGCTGCGGCAATGTCGCTTTTTTTACCCGGTCCCTGAATTAATCCAGGCTTTTGTCCGGAGTCTGAGAGGGACGACCCTACAACCCAGCAGCTTACAGTGGGGTGGTCCGGTAGCACTGCGCGAGCAGTGTCCTCTAAAGATGGGCCAGTGAGCTTGTCTGTTCGAGCCAAGCCAATTGAGTCCGCAACAAAGGCAGTGCGCAATCCTTTTGAAGCTTCTGACTGCTGCCGTTTGGCATCACACCTGCCGCATCGCTGCACTTGAGGATGCAGGGCGTAGGAAATGATGTTCCTGGGTTGGATCGACAAGTAGTGCCGAAGGGTCTTTGCAAGTTGTTTCGCTTCCACTCCAGTCACTAGAAGCTAGAATCTGCCGTCCATTCAAAGTGCTGGAAGGTTCCCCAGCCCTGCCAGCTTCCGGATTTGTTGTTTCGGCTTGCCTCATGATAAAACTCTGGGTGAAGCAGGTTTGACCTGGTTTCAGCTTCTCGCAGCAGGTGATCTAGAGAATCCACAGCGAAATTCCCCCTTCTCACTCCGAAGCCAGGCTGACCCTGCTCTGCAATCAGTCGGAGCACATGTCGCAATCAGTTGGCATCTCAGAACACAAAGTTTATTTGAACGTCCGGCAATGATGTATAATGTGCTGTGTGCCCCCGCGAATGAATCCTTGCGGCCTTACGATGTCAAGGAAGCCCCACAAACGAAAAATCCTCAAAAACACAGTCATAAGCACATGCCCAAGATGCCCAAGCTTTCACCATGTTCAGCTAAACTCTAGGCAGCAAAAAAAGTGATTCCTGAGTCTGCAGCCCATTCATCGCTTTTCGGGACTGCGCCGTCAGACAATATCGGGGCTTCCGAATTCTGCAGCACCCTTTGCGTATACAAATATCTTGGAAGCATGAACCACGAGGCGCTTTGGTGTTGTGGTTTGGTTTGCTTCCAGAACTAGGAATGTGTGCACTTTCTTCTGGAAAGGATTCTGGGAGATGGGATCCATGCCGAGGCATTGACCAGATTTGCATTGATAGCACGACTACTGCCGGCGCCTCAGGGACGGCCTTGTCTGCTTGCAGCCTGCATTCAGGCCTGCACAGGGTCTGCAGACGCTTTGCGATTTCCGTTCCCAGATCATACCAAAGGTGCACAGCTGAAGGCTGTAGAAAGACACGGGTCTCTGCCACAATCGAAAAAAGCCATGCGCAAAACGCCCAGGACACAGATCCTGCCAATGCCACTACCTCTAGATCATCCTGGGAAGGCCAACGCTCAGAAGTTCCGACTTGTGTGGTGATTCTGAAGTGTGAGTCCTGCGCCTGCTTCATGTTCAGAAGCCACAGCCCTCTGCAGGACACGCGATGTTTCTGGATGCAGGAGATGAAGCAAGAAACCAAGGCCGAGCGCGTTGAAGCATGCTTCGTTCCAAACAGAGGATTTGACAAGCTCGTGCAGCAGCTCCTGAACTGTGTACTTTTCACAACTCCTCCGGCTTAAAGCTTGCAAGGCAGACTTGATGAGGCATCTTTACCTCATTGCGCGAGGTGCTTAGGCGTTTCGATCTTTTCCATCCAGGGTTCATGTCGTTGTAAACCAATTGGGATATGGAGTGGTTACGGCCTCACCAGGCACTTCGTTCGAGTGCCTGTCTCGCTCCGAAGTCTCTAACCTTCCTGTGCGGTCGAGTCCAATCAAATCTCCGCTCTCCATTTGACGGTGAGCCAGATGGGGAGAAACAGGAATGGTTCGGATTCGGAAGACGGTCTGAGATCGTAGGCATGCACGCATGTATGGACGGGAGGATGCGGGAGGCATGTACGTTTGTCTGATGTAGCAGTCATCTTGTTGACGGCTGAGGCGGCACTTTGCAGCGGTTTGCTTCGCTTTGCGAGCAAGTCGAGAGACCGATGGTGCTCGGGCGCCTTGCACGTGCTTTCTCAAAGAGATGGGAAAATGATCACACACCAGATTGGCACATGGAGATAGACTTTAATGTGCATTTCGAATTCTTGGGTTAGGTTGGCTGTCGAGGTTGGGGGGTCACATGCTGTCACAGGGGTCCGGGCTCACGGACTCACGGCTGAACGTTCGAGCCTGGTTTGAGTATGATTGCCCAGTGCTCTACTTCCCAGGCGGTGTGCTGCAGAGTGTCACGGCACCGCAGAAATTGTATAGCAGCAGGTGGTGGTGTCCGCGGCGATTGCAGCCATCATGGACAGCTCTTCCGTGCGACTTGAGCGACTTCAGAAAGGTTGTCGGCCTGTGAATCAAGCACTCAAGTGATGGCATCCAACAGAAGCACAATTGTGTTGCCTGGTTGTCCTGCGCTCGTCGTGTGTTGGAGCTGGAGAGGATGCGCTGCTTCGGCGCCCACTTACAGGCTCCATGCACGGCTCATTGGCTTCGCTGTGTGGGAGCTCAGCTTGTCGCCGTGTGCATCAACTAAAGAAGCTTGTGGCAGAGGATTCGCGACTAAGAGTGTGGAACTGAAAGTTATAGATTGAGGGCACTTGTAGCATGTGTCACAAGGTAACATGACGGTAAGAATCGGTGGTCACATTTGCTGTTGGGCTGAGAGCAGTTTACAGAGTGGACACTGCGGCCTGGAGTGATCAGCATTTTCAGTGGATTTTCCCAGGGAGACTTGGCAGCCAGCTGACCGAAGTGTCGGTTGCTGGGACATGAGAGAGGAGCGAAATGGAGCAGCCTGGGCACACACACATTTTAAGACCCTCAACGTTCCAGGCCCTCAACGCACTTTCTCTCGGCAGGACTCATGCAGAGACTTGTTTGTGCTTTATGCTTGTCAAAGTTTTTCAAATCAAAGCGTCCCATCATGCAGTGTGTCCTCACATCGTAGCTAGAACCGATCGACCAGCTATGGTGGTTCAGTGGTGCTGGCTCATACTCCACTCAATACCCTGCCAATGGAGGTCTGTCACAGACCGATCGCGGTGAGTTGTCCGAGGCACTACGGTGGCCTTGCAGACGGACCCTCGCAGCCCTTCGGCACGTTCCTCAGGGTCTTGACATGCTTCAGCCCATGTCAGCTCGCCGTTTGGTTGCAGGGAAGCGGCGAGTTTGATGGATCCTAGAGAAGATTCGGCGCCAACCTGTAAGATTCTGCACTGCTCAGGAGCAACAGCCGAGGCAGACTGTGCCGTCTCTGCTAGCTTGGGCTCGAGCCTCCAAAGGCAGCAGCATGCAGCTTCAATGATCCATGTGCGACTCCGGTGAACTCCAGTGCCCAGCAGCCCTCAACCATCTCTGCTACGAGTATGCCGAGTTCGGAGACATTGAGAAGGTCGAGACGGCACCAGGGCGGCCCCCGAATCAGTACTTCTATGTCCGCACAAGACGTGAGTGCAAAGAGCCAGGCAAGATGGCAACCGATGTTTTTTACGAGGACTATTTCGTCAGAAGTGGCGAGGACGATGCGGACCTCCGGCTGCGACACGAGTTGTTTCCGCTCGTGGCTGAGAGGCTTTCGGCTTACAATGACGATCTTCGAAGACGGACTGCCAACAGGGAGACGAATGCGAGTGTCGTATTCATAGCCGTACCGGAGCCAGTTGCCCCTGCTCGAACGGCACTGTTAGCTTCAGACGATGCGGCGTTGCTGATTCTGCGAGCCACGCATCATCGGTCGGCTCGACTTCGTGGATGCCACGGGTGAAGTCGTCAAACGGGCTCAGCGTCTGGCGGCGACTGATGGGATTTGTGGACTACGACTGGGAGGGCAAGCATGCCGACTGGATTCCAGGGACTTGTGCCGGCTGTGCAGCTTTCAGTGCGGCACTTCGAAGCTGCTCACGGCTTCTCGGCGACGATTCACCTTGTGTAGCTGGGGATGAAAGGGTAAAGGTGCCGGCCTGGGTGAGCCGTCACAAGAACCATTGGGATGAGGCGGACGATATTGATTACTTGGTTGACCACGTGCGTCCAAAACTGTCGAACTTCAGTCTGCTGCTGGAGACAGGACAGGGTGTGGCACTCGCAGACAGCGCCTTGGCACTGCTTGCAGAGCATCGCGAAGCGTACCGCTCACTGCCCAAACAGCTGACTCATGGTGACATGGGCTTGGGAAACGTGATGATCCCTGTCTCGGATGCAGACGGCGTGCCTCGTAAAGCAACTGCTTGCATTATTGATTTCACTCCGTACGCAACACAGTCGCACCTTTATGCCTTCACAGTTACGCTATATTGGACCTTCCTCTATGGTCCGCTGAGCAGTGGCATTGGAGAGTCGTCTAGCTTGGACGAAGCGCGAATGCGTTCATCTGTTGCCGCATATCTAAGCACGGCAGCTTCTTTTAATTTGCCGGATCTCCGACACATGTGGTACATCATGTTCGTCAAAGTGGCGTGCCGCATGCTGTTTGTTCCTGTGCTGTGGGCAGAAGCCGATGTAGCATTTCCGTCATTCGTTTCTGCAGACGCCGTGGAAAAGTGTTTACGGGTTCTGGACTGGGTGATGCGGAACCAAGCGCTGCTTGAGAACATCCTAGACGTCGACGTGAACGCTCTGTGAGTCCCAAATATTCCAACTTGGAAGTTCAATTTGCAATGCCTCGGTCACGTTCTGGTCCGCTGCATCCTACTGTCTTTATCTTCCTGGCCGCGCGTGACTCAAGGACGGCCATTGTTGCCAGGGACATTCCAGGTGATCATCGAGGTAAGGGTGCCTCTTGTTGCAGGACAGCAAAGCAGGGCGGCTGTTTCACAGCCGACAGCGGATCCTTTGTCAAAGTTGGGTAACATGTTACGTTGCTATGGGTATTTCATAGTTTAGGGTTTCAGTGATTACAGGGTTGAGTGAAGGCTTTGTGGGATCAAGTCAGTTTGTTTTCGGGATTGCATGTTTTGGTTCAGGGTTTAGAGATTACAGAGCTTGGGCAAAGCGTATGAAGGATGAGGCTTGGGCGGTTTAGGGTTTACGATTAGGGTTTGGGATGAGGACGCTCTGAACGCTTCTTTGTTCCACACAGGGCTAAACCAACAAGGAGTACACCACAAACAAGCGTACTCAAGCGTCCACGGCGCCCCCTTCTGGGGAGGAGGACGTTCCACACGGGAACACAACATGGAAGAGTCGAAGATGAAACAAACCATGTCCCGAAAACATAAAGTTGCCAAGACCCGTCCAGATGCAGTCCGGTTAAGCATCAAACAAACAATTAGTGTGTTACAAACACAAGTAGCGAACAAGGAACAAACAAGTGCTGTATCACAAACATTGACAAACACAGCCATGGAGGGCTAAACCAACAAGGAGTACACCACAAACAAGCGTCCACGGCGTCCCCTTCTGTGGGGTTCAGGGTTTCTGGACTTTGGTTTAGTTTAGGTTTAGGGTTTAGGGAGGGACATTGGCCGGGCGAGTTCCGATCAAGCCTGTGAAAAAACAGGGCTTAATTTTCAAGGAGGGGTGCCCAAGCTGTCCAGGTCAGACTAAATGGAGTGCCGCACACCGCGCTGCATGGGGCGCCCTACACTGCTTCGCCAGAGACTGATCCGTGGGCTGGAGAGGAAACGACCCCTGGTCGCAGTCACAGATGCCTCAACAAGGCACGCAGAGGCAGCCTTACCAGCCAGACTACCCGCAGAGATCCTCCTACAGCCTTCCATACCGCTCACCGGACAACGGACCGCGAACCCCCTACGCCCCTCAGTTCACTCCGAAAACACCACCGCCGGCGGCGCCACCCGGTGCGGTTACAGCGTGGCAAGAGGGCCGAGCCCGGTACACACCCAGTGGGGGTGTACTCGGTCTCGGCCCGTTCGGGAGTGGCGTCAGTGTGCGGACGCCAAAGCCTGCTCCGCCCCCTGTCCCGGACAGCGAGTATGAGGACTCGCCGGAACCGAAGGCCTCTGGAACCAAAAGCGCAGGCACGGGCATTCTACATGAATGGTGCATCCTCGACGAGTCAACGGGTCGAGCACCTTCCCGGCGCCGCCGAACTGTGCAAATAATTCGGATCTGCCTCGGTGTTAGGGCGGGGTTCAGGCTTTTGGGGTTTTGGGGCCTGGTCGCCTCTAGCGTTTGTGGGACTACCAGGGTCCATTACTTCTATTGGTTCCGACCTCTATAGTGCTCAAGTTCACAACTTTAACCTCCGAGATGCCGTCGGGCGAAGGGCGCGGCCTCCCTGCCGGAGCCAAAGGCATGGGCAAGGCCATCTACATGAATGGCGCGTCTTCGACGCATCCAGCTGTAAACTCCTAGGGGCCGGCGCATGGCCGACGCTTTGCAATGCCTGCAGATCCAGAGCAAAAGACTAGGTTCAGTGAGGCACGAGCCGCCGTTTTCGAGACATGGCTGCAGAGACTCCGAAAGCTTTGCGATCATCTCGAGAAGATGCATTGTCGTCTGGGGTTCTAGGGTTGTCTTCCATGTGCCTCCTTCCAGGAATCGACATGAACCCTTCGTGTTTAGCGCTGGTTCAAGACCTTCAGATTCCGCGGCTCGTTTTCGGCCATCGTCGGCAGTTCCTGTATGGCACGGCAGGTTCTCCGGTGTGGCAATAGACATGAGAGGCAGAGGGACTGGCATAAGGTATCTCAAGACCAAGTCCCCTCAGCCTACCGGCATTTGGGCATGGCTTGAGTCTGTGATTTCGTCCTAGCGGCCCAGAGCGAGGGCGAATGGCCAAGGACCGGACCGATATACTTTGATATCAGGGGTTGGGGCTGGGGCTTCTCAGAGGAATGCTCCATCGACGAGGGAGCCTTCGGTGCCATCGTGGTGCCCGCTTCGTTGAGCCTCGACCGCAGTGTCGTAGCATTCTGCAGAGCTTGGAGCTTCGAAACTTGCCAGACATGCTAGACTTTCACGCCATGTTGGTTGAGCCGAGGCCTTCCTTGTTGATTTGGTTAAGATAGGTCATGCCGGATGACGTCGCGATATGTTGATGTCAAGAGAAGACGGGCTTTACTTGTGCGTTCAGCGGAAACGAGTGAACCTGCACGAGAGAAAGGGTGGAAGGCTTGGACTTCGGAGTTGCAGGTGCTTAAAAAAGTGTGAGTAGGATTCCCTCCAACTCGCCCCCAATCACCGCTCAGGAGTTCCAGCCTCCGCGAGGAATCGTGGCTGACGGTTTATGGGTTATTGACGGGCCGGGGCCACTGTTTAGCAAACAGGCTTGATGTGTTTGTGGGGAAGTGGGGATGTGAGGTTCAAGGTCCGGCTCCACGAGCTAATAGGGGCATTCTAGATTCGCATTATTACATCGAGCGAAAAGGCTTCGACAAGAGCCTTGAAGAAATGGTTCTGAATTTCAACGCCAGAGCCGTCCAACAACATACAGAACTAGGTTCGAAAGGCATGCAGCTGGGCATCAGGTCCCGATCCATGCCAGCGCAAAAGATGAGAACATTTCGATGTGAATCAAGCTGGAAAGCCCTTTTATGGGCTATCGACCCTTCGGCGCGTTGAACCTTTCACAGCGCTTCAACCTACAGTGCTGACTTCAACGCTTGCCGCCAAGGGTGTCAGACATTTTATGCAGGCACTTGGGCGGTGGTGCCGCGTGCGACAGCCTGTCACACTATATGCTGCTCGCTATAACCAAGTAGGCAGAATTTTTGCTCTTCGGGCTTGGCTTGCTTATCCGACTTTCCGGCAGCTTCCGGTCTTGGGGCGTGCTTTCATTCGGAATCGGCCGCAGATAGTGGGGAGGGCACAGGGACATTCCAGAAGGCTCCCCTGCAGTCCCGAGCCGGTCCCGAGCCGGTCCCAGGAGCCGGAGCCCGCTCCTGAAGAGGCCCACCATGCCCTCCACCTGAGCAAGGAGACCCCGCGAGTTCTTGTTGCAGCCCCCTTGTTTGAGAGTTGTTGTAACTGGGCTGTTGTGGTGCGGGATGCGGATGAACCGATACAGGACGGAGCCGCCATTTTGAAGTCTCTCACTGCTCCGCTGGGACCCTTCGATGAAGCGGATTTGCAGCTTGGCTGTATGAGAACGCCATGTTCACGCTGGTTGCCACCGCGGTGTGCAGATGATGCCATAGCTAGCAAGTCGGTTGGAGGCGTGCTTACACGTGCTTCCTCCTCATTACACAGCCATCCATGTCCATTCGCCCACGCACCCCTGGTGTGCAATGATACCAGAACAAATAGTCTGTTTCGGCAAACCCGTCGACGCCCATGACACTGGAACTTTCCCCGGTGTCGAGCAGCGCCATCCAGCATAGGTTCACGGAGTGCTTCAGAGTGACAGGGCTCGGCTTGAGTCGAAGGTAGGAAGACTTGAAACCAGAAGAGCCTAACAGGCTGAGCACTGCGCGTGTCCGGTTTTGAGGCACACTTGCTTGAGCACCTCCTGGGTGGAAGCGGAAGTGGATTCGGACATTGTCGAGCTCTTGGAGGACGGCGGCTCTACGCATCTCCCATACTCGTAGTACGCAGTAAGTCGATCGGACGCTCTTTCTGGGTTTGTCGTGTGGTGTGCAAAGGCTTCCGCACTTTGAGAAGCATACCCAACGAGTAGGTTCCGAGCCCTGATCTCCGCAGGCGCTGCTTCGCGTCTGCACGGAGCTACAGCAGGACATGGCCTGGATCTCGCATCATGGCGGTTCTTGCGAGCTGCAGCACTAGAATCCCTAGACGATCCAACTCTGAGTCTGGGAAGTTCTCGGTCTCTCTGCTGTTGTCCGGCTTCCACACGCAGCCCTTTCAGGAGCTGGGGCGCTGCCCGGTTCGGTGGCTGCCACATCTTCGACCTAGCTCCCTGCCTTGCCCCTCAGCGGCATGGGCTTTCAGGACTGCAGGCTGAAGACAGCTGGAGCCAGATCTCGGGGCAGGTTCAAACATGATTGGAACATGGACCAATGGAGCAGTGAGTTTGTGATTGTAGAGTGCAGGCTGCACTCTTGGTCTTGAACCCAACCAGAGGTTGCAGGCGCTGGCGGGGAGCCAGTATCCAGGCCGGACTCAAAGCTTCTGATAGCAATCGGAAACGCGTGCCGCGTGCCCTCAGCAGACAGTCCTTGTCGCGGCTGAGAGGCCTGGAGGCGACGTGCTGCCGCGTCACCGCTCCCAAGGTCATCGTTTCGGGCTTCCAGATTCGCAAAGTTTGGCTGGTCAGCGCATCGCGCGACACCAGAGCCTTCGCCTTATTGTTGGGAGGTTCACCTTCTGTGAGCTGTTCGCGGGCATCGGTGGCTTTCGCCTGGGGCTCGAGGCCGGATCTTTGTTTTGCTTCATGTTTGGGATTGGATCCAACTCAGCAAGCTCGTTCAGGCATGTTCAGGCTAAACCAAAGATAAAGTTCCACTCAGAACAATCAGCTTTGCGCTGTAGCCTGGAACTATCGAAACTCGAAGGGTCTAGGTTGATGCAGAGGGCCTTTGTTTCAGGACACTGCGGCGTGGCTGTGGTGTGACAGAAGTTGCACAGCTGTTCTGCAGATTCGCTCCAACTGTGAATCTCAAGCCCGGAACAGCACCTGAAGCGCTTTAGTTGGTGCCCCTTTCAGCCCCTTTCTGCATTCACAGCGCATCTACAGCAAGTGGCATCAGGTAGAGCTGCAACTACGTGACGTGTACTGGCTGAGGCCGTACAACTCCGGGATCTTGCAAGGAGAATGTGTTGAAGACCCGTAAACCCCCGCCAAATGCACATCCGAAAGTGTGTTTCACGGAGTCCTGCATTTTCCATCGAGGCCGTAGGTGGTCGCTGCGTATTCGCTTCCGAGATCAAAACAGCGGCGCGGCGGACGTACATGTGACTCGGCCGATACTCTTAGGTCATGTCCGATGAACCTTGCTACTTGCGGCTGAAACGTGACATGGGCGGACCAAAGCATGAAAGTTTCCCTGTAGGCGAAACTTTCCATCAGATGAGGGCGCGGCTCCGCTGAAGCCTTAGCTTCTTGTTTGCTTTGGTGCCAGTACTTTGCAATACATGAAAGCATGGCGCATTTGCTCACGAGAGCGTCAACCAAACTCACCAAGATCACGGGATTAGCCGCCGGCTGCATAGTTCCAAAAGAGTGGAGTTTGGTCCCTGTCTGACCCGTGAGGCCCCGTGTGATAAATCATGATTGCCATTGAATCAAAGCAATCAAAACACCCCGTCCAACAGCCTCGGCTCGTGCAGATATCCTCTTGCACCCCTCAGTCAAGAAAGGCCCAAAAAAGGGGGCTGGGCCTGACAGTTCAAGCCTCATCCTGGCGCCAAGAGAAGCAGTTGTAGCGAGTCACAGCTTAGCTTCTTTCTCTCAGGTTGGGGGACGTTCGTTCCATCTCTGCTGACGACTTGCCTGCCTTCGATCTTCTCGCCGCCGGCTTTCCTTGCCAGCAACTTGCCTTTGTCATAGGTCTTCGGGTTACATTTTTTGGTCTACGGCTTCGAATTACATCATGCGGTTGCTCGGGGTCACAACTGTCTCAGCGTTGTCTTGGGAATGAGCACGTTGGCAGTTGGCAAGGGCCGGTGTCAAGGAATGCCACCCGAATCCTTTAACCAAGCCCATGTTGAGTGTCGGCGAATGCGTCATGCATGTCGAGGAGCTACACCTGCTACAACCCCGATTCTGCCGGGCTGGACTGTGCAAAAGGGGAGCTGGTGTGGGAAGTCCTTCGACTCTTGAACTTGAGCTGCAGCTGGTGACGTGTCTTTCCAGGGGTCAGGGCCAACCCGCCAGTCCAGCGCAACAGCTTTTGGGTTGGGAAGACTAGACAGGTGTGCATGCTTTGCACAGGCATAAATCGGCGATGCAAACGGTCATCACAAAACAACGTGCCTTATACTATACTACAAACAGCTGCTTAGGAGATGCTGCCGACCGCCTGCCGCGTTGCTGGAAAACGTGCAGGGCTTGGTCAACCACAGGTCTGGAAACGCGACTTTGCCCAACCACTCAGGAAGTTTTTCCTTGTTTGCTCTACCATACGGTCCATCTTGATCTCGCCAAAATAATCCGTGCTTCCAAATGAGCAGCACAAGGATCTTGCGCAGATTGTGGCGCAGCTTCGTGGAGCAGGATATGCCGTTGGCTGGCGCAGCCTCGATGCACGCAGATGTGTGCCCCAGAAGAGACTTCGTGTGTACATTGCCCCTCGGACTATTCGATGCGAGGTTCAGAGTTTGCACCAGTAAATAAAGGAGGGGACGAGGGATTCAGGTTCAGATTCCAACTTAGCCCTGTCTCTGGGCATGTGCTTTTTTTGAGTCTGCAAGGTCTGCATTCGCCAAGATCTGCAAGATGATTATGTGGCAAGACAGAGCTCGGTGCCTTCACCGGAAGATGCTGGAGTCGTTCGATTCGGCGGGGCAGATGCGTGAAGTCAAGGGCTGCATTCTCCATGAACCCGCTCCAATCTGCTCTTGGCTGTGCTGGTGCCTGACAGTAACTACCAGTAGAGGCCTCTGTGTCGCTCCTTGACCTGTCTCCGTGCTCTGCGCACAGGCGGCGAGTCCAAGGCTTTGGGCGACTCGGTGCCTGGGTGTGCCTTTGAAGCTTCTGTTGATGACGGTGCACAGGGTGTGGCTCACAGACAGACACTGTTTAAGAGTTTAAGGCTTGGGCCTAAGCTCCCCCCTCCTTGCGAACCGAAGCGGAGCTTGAAAATGCTGGGGTTGTGACTGAGGTGATCGATTGGGCGAAGTTCGAAGCTGCTGCAGCAGAGCAAAAGCCGACGCGGGCCGCAGAAAGCCGAGTCGATACAAGTAGATATAACTAACAACATCTAGCGCCTAGTCGTAAATATATCATATATACTATATACTATATAGTCCATAGGATGTTTATAGTTGTTGAACATGGCTTCGGATCCGGGCTTTGGGGGAATCCCATCCTCTGGGAATTTCGAGGGCTGGCACTTAGATGTTCCGCAGTCCTGCAACTGTTGATCACGTCGACCCTCGGGCCTACAGTAGGCCAAAGGCCTGACTATGATCTGGCCTCAGGAAGACATTCCGCGAAGTTCTGCAGCCGCAAGCCAGCACGGACACCTTCCTGAACCTGGGCTTAGCCATACAAGTTAGAGGCGGTCATGGTGTCGGAGTGTCGGACTTTCACGGAACAGTCCTTTCTGTTTTGTTAAAAGGTGATTTGCAGGTTCAAGGTCTGCATCCAGCTGGCGACAGCCCGTGAAGGACATCGAACACCAGCTTAAGTCAGCGTCTGCGAGTGACGACGCATATTAGCTGAGGACGGCAGCGCAGTGGGACAAGGCTGCAGCATGCTCCGACACTGTCACGTAGTGCTCGAGCGCACTACACGAGCATGTTGGTGGTTTTGCCACCCCGTGGTTTTGCCCAGCTCCACTTTTTCTGATGGAGTGGCAAGACCTGCTGTAGACTGTAGAGTCTGTGCCGGGAGTAGGCACGCAGCGAGAATATCATGCAACTGTTGATGGCGGCTCGTTTTCGTTGTCCAGGTCGTGGAAGAAGAGGGGAGTGAGGAGCTCGCGCGTCGCAAGCCACTCGACCGCCACCTCCTGCACTCCCGAAGTCTGAGATCGACTTGGCAAGCAATGCTGCTACGCCCTGCTACGCATATGTCATATGTATCTGACTACGTGTGCGCTTGCCTGGCACTAGTCACGACCCCTTCCAAGGCGGCTGCTCACATCGGATGCAGACTGGGCAGGGGCCCTTCGTTCAACCTACCGCTGTGACTGGCGGCGGGCTTCACAGTTCGTTGTGGCTGGGATTTGAAGGAGATTTGGTCTTAAAAGTTGAGCCTTCCGATCACTTCCGCGGTTGTGTCCCTTTTTCCTCGAAGTTTTGCTACGGCTGCTACGGGTTCTGGGACTTTTAGCTTCCCAACTGGGGCCCGTCTTCGCACCTTTCGGTGAGAGTGAGGACTTTGAGATCCGACCAACCCAGTGCAAGCGCATTGGGGCCTCGGACAAGCGATGCATTCCACGGGTAAGGAAGTGTTCACCGCCTCGCGGAGGGTCGACAAGCTTGGGCGTGACCTTTCACAAAACGAAAGCCCTGGCGTTTGCCATTCTTGCGAGCGACCCACGTGTCGAAAACAACGGCAAAACCGAGGGATTGGATTCTGCCAACCGCAACATGTGCTGCTGCGGCTAGATGCACCGTGGGAGGGATGGGCCTGCAAACGCAAAGCAAGATGCCACTCTCCGAGCCCTCGAAGATCGTTGATGCAACATGTCCTCAACTACGCCATTCGAAAGATTCTCCTTCGCATGCTTGCTTTCCACCTGCACCAACATAAATCGCACATCCAACCTGCAGGCGATAGAGCATGATAGAGCAAGCTACGATGTTCTATGATTCCGTATATACGTACCTTGCGGTAACTGCACCTCCGTCAAACGACCTTCTGCATACCAGCTACTGTACTGACTGAACAACATAGCTTCCGTAATGAGTGATGTGGATGCACAGGGCTCACTTCTCTCGGAAGTCTGCCTCCTACACTTCATCGTTACCTTTGTAGCCTAGACAAGTTCCCCCAGAGGCCTCGGAGATGCCCCGCTTCTTCACCACGAGAGAGTGTGCGCGACTGCAGCCTGGCAGGAAATGCGTGGAAGTGGCATTTTGATCTTTCGAGTTTGCCAATTTTCCTCCTATGGATCCTTACAAGTGCTCCTGTGATTCCTCAACTCCCAGAACATTTGATCTTCTAGAGATCCTGGGTTTTGAGCTGGCCTTGGAGGATGGGATTCCCGGAGACCTACGAGATCGACAGTGGGAACGGGTTTTACAAGCAGATTGGGAATGCGGTCGGCCCGTGGGAAGTTGGGGGATGTTCACGGCTTTCACAGGGTGACTGCTTGTACTGCGCATTGCAGATTTCTAAGCTCTGCAAGACTTGCCCTTGATCCTGGGATTCGGTCCCGACCCCCGATACCCTGAAGCAGCTTCTCGAAGGTGGTGCCAGAGCTGATCTCACAGCTGGCTCTGGGAGTACTGCAGACCATGATGCGCTGAGTCTGGAGATCCATGCCACCTCTCACGAAACGTCTCCATTGACACGGGCTAGGCGGCTTGATAGCCGGACAAGCGGGAGAGAGATTCCGGTGCTTGGTCGTGGCATTTCCTGCCGGAAGTGCTCCAACTGGTTCACGCGAAGAGCATCTGCCGGACATCAGACTCGTCCTGCTCAAGAAAGAGCGGTCCCTTGCAGGCGGTCCCTTGCCAGAGGCGCCAGCGATGTCTAGAAGACTAGGACCGAGCTCGATCACCATGCTTGCCGTGCATGCGCAGATCCCGATTCGCTGCGAGCAGAAGTTTGCCCGGAGATCCGTGGAACTCCGACTCGAAAAAAGGTTCAAGACTGGATGCCAGCTATCCAGAAAAAGGCCGCTGAGGTGCACAGGGGCCGTTATGCTTGCCGTTGCTGCGCTGCTTTGGGATATGTATGCGTACCCAGGCGTCGACTCCGGCGCTTTCCGCGAGGTCTCGGAGACTTTGCTATTGGCATGGGCCCTGGAAGGTGCTTGCGCGCGCTTGGGGTTTGCGTCTTTTGACCAAGTTCACATCCGACAGAGAGGAGTTTTGTGTCCCCCCCTTCTCCGGTCAGTGCTCTAAACGGGTTTAGTGCCTTAGGGTGTTGCGGCGTTGGGCTGCGCCGGACGGCGAATGGACGCGCTCAAGTTCTTCTGTTACAGCAGTTGCTGCTGCCGTGGGTTGTGGTGATGGTGATGGGGCTCCTGCAAATGGCTGTGGCAGTACTAGCAGACGGCTGTCGTTTTTTTCGGCAGCTTACATGCACTCGGACCTGGAACATTGCGTTGAGGGTGTCAGGCTCGAGCCTATTTGGCAGCGTTTGCTAGATGCACTTGGTGCTGCCAAAATCTGTCTGTCTGTCTGTCTGTCTGTCTGTCTGTCCGTCTGTCTGTCTGTCTGTCTGTCTGTCTGTCTGTCTTTGTCGCGGTCTCCGCCTCCGCCTTCCGCTCTCTCTCTCTCTCTATATCTCTTTCTCGCCCTCTACGCATACATACAGAAGAAAAGTACAGACAGAGAGATGGAGAGACCTGACAGGACAAGCGTGGGCAAGTGGGCACAGATTGACTCAAACCGCGATGCACAAGCGCCAGCATGAAAAAAGCCCGCAATCATCCTCCCGACCAGAGCTCTATAGAGATCAGCTCTGGAGATTCTACGGCACAAGTCGGGACGTCATCTCAAAGCTCCAAGGCCGGTGCTACCCGCAGAGGGGGGGCGCCAACCTGGAGCACTATGCCACGGAGCTCGAGTCTAGCTAGAGCGTAGCTAGATTTAGGGAGAGTGGACGAAGCAAGGATGCTTTTGGCCGCTGAAGGTGGGATTGGCTCAAGGTGTGCCAATATCCATCGAGACTATCTGTCGCGCGATGGCACAGAGAAGGTCGAGGTCTCGTGTCGAAAAGCGGCAGCCAGTGAAGCAGACGGAGCTTTGTGCGTTCTTCTCACAGGGGAGATGTACCCGTGGGAGTCGGTGCACTTTCGCCCACGGCATCGCAGAGCTACGTCAACGTCCAGACCTCTACAAGACAAAGCTTTGCGCTTCCTACTCTCTATGGAAGCAGTGTCCCTACGGCGAAGACTGTACTCACGCCCACGGTCAAGAGGAGCTACGATCAGTTGACTCAGTCGGAGTCTTTTCAGGTTCGGAGATGCAACGATCGGACGACGGCAAGGAGACATTCTCTACAGCATCCGGGGTTTGCGACTCCGAGCTGTCGGTGTCCTCAGCGGTAAGCCAGTTTGGCTTGCCAAACCTACACGAAAGTCCAATGATGTACATCGGCTACGACGCCTCTCTAAGCAGTGATGGCGGCTTTCCGATCACGACTCCCAGTGACTACAAGCCACCCTGGGGCAGCCTCCTTCATCAGATGCAGGATGCAGACCTGCATCACATGGGTGCCTCTCCGCATTCCAACATGCAGATGCTGGAATTCTTGGCTGCCAACGGTCACCAAGAGGTCCTGAGCTTGTAGCCCGCAGTCTTCAGGACTTGAGCTGCTTTCAAAGACCTGCATGAACCAACAGAGCACAAGAGACACAAACACAGACACATACAGCAGACTCAGACGGCTTGTTTCAGGAGAAGTTCATGCTGGTTTCTGCGAGCAATCCTGCTTTTCTGCTCGATGTAAGGTAGAAATCGCTTCCCCCTAGTATCAAACGTGCCCCCAAATTTTACATGTCATTTTCCGGAGGCATTCGGCCAGGAGATGCACTCAAACACTGCTCATGCATTTCCCAAGACGACTACTGTGCAATTGCGGCAAAGTAGGTCAGTAGGGTGCGGGGTTCGTGGTAAGGATTTAGCATATCTAGCAGTCTAGCATACAGCACTGAGGAGTGGACAGATTGTGAAGTTGAGCCCCCAGCGTTCGCTTGAAGCGCTTTCCGCCGAACAACAGCTTTTGGTATTCGTGCGCAGAGGGGCTTTAGTACTAGGGGGAAGAGATTAGCTGGATGCTTGACCTGAGACACATGATCCCAGGCAAGCTTGTCACAGAAGCGGCTTTAGAAGCGATGTATAAGTTTTGGCGAAGGTCCCCATTAGTATGGCTGCTTACGTGGCACCCGCAGCTTGCCAGAGCCAGAGGAGAAGGCGGCTGAGTTTTCGTAACTTGATACATCTGTAGAGCTCGTTTTATCCTAGTTCTCTAACTCTAAGTTATGTGACTCGACTCTGATGCAATCTGCGGTGAAATCCACCGAGAAGCAGCCGCCAGCGAGACACGCTTTCTGACCTACCCGCGCCTGTGGGAGTGGGCAAAGAAACTTACTTGACGAATTCCGCCGACCTACGCTGCTGCTCGATTGAATTTGCTTTGTACTGCAGGTTGCTCCCGAATATGCTGCCTTGCCGCGAGCCTAGGTGCATGATTAGTCTTTCAAGCGACTACTCTTTTCTGGACACTGAGATGCATGATATGGGTCCGAGGCGTGCGCTCGTCTTGGATTATTTCGCGAGTGGCGTCCTCGGCAGGTGCTACAGTGCAAGCGTTGGGTAAGAAAACAAGTCAGTGAGCTCAGAGGTCACTCATTTTCTTAGCTTGCTCTTCCCTGAGAATGTGGCCCTCAGAAGTCCAGTGCCCATTTATTTTCTTAGTATTTTCTTAGCACCTCTTGTAGTGGGAAGCCGCAATGCAATGTCTGACATGGAGATCGTTTCTTGGGCGATGGGGCGGGGGCCAATTCCAGCCAACAAGAGGATTAAGAAAAAGAGTACTCATTTTCTTAACCGTGTTTGCGGATTTGCAGCAGACCCCGTAGCTCAGTTGGCAACGCGACCGCTCATAACGCTGAGACACGCAGTTCAATTCCAGAGGTGTCTTTGCAAAGCTGTCGATGCTTTGTATCTCCAACTCGTTTTTCAACCAGCAATCCTTAGAAGATACATGTATGCCACTACACTACTTGAAGAAATCAGTCCTCATTTCCCTCAACAAGAGAATCAGAGCCCCGGAAAAGCACACAGTTAAGAAAATAGGGTCCGAACGTCAGAGGGCACTCATTTTCTTAGTTAGGCGGGGCAGTGAGAATGCATATATCTGGAAAATCCAGAGCACTGGTTTTCTTAGCCAGTGTTTTCTTAAACAGAGCGGGCACTGTACACCCACTCTACCCCCTCGTAAAGAAACACCAATTTCGGTGAGAAGAATATGATGGGCGGTCACTGAAAGGTTTTGCCAGTAAGCCACAACCGATGCCACAAGCGTCACGGAAGTCAGTAATTTCTTATATACTTGCGGCACCCTGCCTCAAAAGCCACGCAGACACAGTTACAAGATGTTGCAAGTCTCGGGCACAACTTCTCCGGCCACACGTTCTTTCCTCCCAAAACACATGAATAGGTAGGTGCATCCGACAATACTCAATGGTTCCATTCAGTCCTTTCAAGATAAACCTCCCTCCGTTCTTTGTGCAACGGTTTGTTTATCTTGACAAACTGTAGAAGTCCGACCAAACTGGGGCTCCACTAGAAGGCATAAGGCAGCCTGGCTGAAACCCCGGCTACAAGTCCTAATTCATCGTTATCTACGAATCCTTACTCGCTAGTTAGTCTCACACTTACATGTAGCAAAAAGCCTCCCACAATCCACGCTAACATCGGAAACTACTCGCGGCCAGACGTTCAAGCCACTGCAACTCTTACAAGCCCCAACCTGACAAAGAACAAGTTGTGGCGTGGCGCTTCTGAGAATTCTGGGCCGGCAAATCTCGAAGGTCGAGCTGCGCCAATTGGGAGATCAAGGAATCATGAACTGAATGGGTGGTGGTCGAAGCTTACACGCTTGCTCGCAAACACCTGTTAGAGGTGGTAGTTACATCTATCTAAGCATTACGTGTGTCTTTATTTCGAGTTGCAATATATCATCTAACACCAGCGGAGGATAAACTTGCAACCGGCTTCGTAGTAGCGGGCTGCGTGCAGATCTGACGTGATTTGAGCATTGAGCGAACCATAGAATCTGCTATAGAATCCTCAGACTCTGAGACTTCACCTGTCCAAGGTGTCCGACGTTCTGTCGCAGATGACCACATCGTGTTTGCCTTCGACAAGGATATGGCTTGCAGCGAAGGCCATGGGCTCGGACGCAGTTTCTCACCGAATACCAACCCAGGTTATCTTTACATTCGGGCAGTTTCTGGGAGTTCTGGAGCTGAAAGAAATGTGCAAAAATGTGGGGCCCGGAGACGTGATGTGAAAGCAAAATTCAATGTGACAGCAGCATTAACATGAACAAAGCGAGAACTAATGTGAGAAGCACATGAACACATGAAATATGAAATTTGCACCATGAGAGCAAGAACATAAGTCTCAGCAGCGGTACAGCGGCATGGGCAAAAAGTCACTACAAATAGACCGCTCATGTGAGGACAACTAAGGAAGTAGAAGAAATAGTTTGAGCATAGTACAGCATAATTGCAAGATAAGCCAGACTAGGCCAGGCTTGTCCATCTGCAGGGGAATGGAGGGGGAGAGGGGTGGGGGTGGGGGGGGGGGGTGGGGGNNGAGGGGGGTTGGGAGAGAAATGATATCTTTCTAAAACACAACAAAAAGAATATTAAAAAACGTGGAACATACTGTATGAAATAAATGTGGAACATATGAAAAATACGTAGCGTATGAGTCTCTCCCGACTAGTAATGTGTGTTCTTCCGGACCATGCTGGCGCAAGGTCTCGCTGTTTTTCCTCGTTCGCAGAGTTGTATTTCATTTAGTGCTCCTTGCGTTTTACCAACAAACTTAGATTTGTTCTATATTCCGCATCGCAGTTCACTGTCACTTGTTTTTCCATGGCGCGATTTGGGACCGTGCATACTTCCGTCACATTAATATCTTATACTGTTTCAACATCTTGTCTTAGCCTGCGTCGGTGTTTGTTTCAGCGCATGTTACAAGCTAGCAACAAACCCAATAGTTCTGATGGCCAGTGGGCCAGGCTTTCGGGTCACGGAACCGTTGATAGTTCTTTGAACGTGCTGAATCCAGAAGGCTTGCTTCCGGCATGATGCAGGGGCCACAGGATCATGTCGTGCCGAGTTTCTTTTCCTCTGCTGTAGGGCATGCCTAGGTTCCCCATGACTGGGACGCAGTCTCCTTGGCTGATCTCAAACCATGCCAGGTGATGTCGCCCTTGCGGAGCAGATATCCCTGTGCTTAGGTGGGAATCAGCAGTAATTCAATCAGGGCAGAGTGGGCAGTTGCTTTCGGCAAAATTCGTGTATACCACCTCCTCTGCAGGGCTTTTGCGAGTGGGTCAGGTCTTCAAAAAGGCGAGGCAGGCACGCGAGGCTAAGTCGAAACGAATTTAGTTGAGGAGACCATCAGCCATGACCTGTGGAGTACCATCACCCGGTCTATCCCGGTCTTCGGGCGGTTGCGGAGGACCTCGAAGGCTGTTTCTTGTATTCGGAGGTCTCGATGCTGCGCGGCGAGCAGCCCCACAGCTCTGGAGCGGCGAGCGTCCGGAACTGTGCCTCGATGCAGAAGAGGTCTCGATGGCAGCGTAACACAGGAAACCACAGCTCTGAAGTCCATGTGTGCCTCGGAAACGATGCCTCTAGCAAGCTCCAGAGCGACAGGCACTATGCGCACTTTCGGGATCGGTAGGCACCTCAATCATGATCGGGCTTCAAGGCTGGAGCTCTTCCCGGAGCTTGCCTGGTTTCGGGACACCGTGTTTCTGTGGAAGATGCCGTGCCCTGAAAACGGAATGTGAGCTGTGGATGCAGTACCTGTAGCAGCCCCTGAGTAGATGTGCAGCGGTACCTCTGAGCTGAAAGGCTTCTCCTCCCTGCTTGCGAGTGCCCACCTGTCCAGAATTGGTGCCGCCCCCGAGCATTGCCTGTTCGACTGCGTAGATTTCGGGAATTTCGGCATAGGCTCCTCCTACATTGCCTTCGGTCCTAGATGAAGGCCAAGTTCGTGTTTGCATTATTGTTGGTTTTGGTTTTAGACCTTATTAAGTTCTTGCTGTTCATGCGCATCGTACCTATATCTTCACTTAAGGACAGTAGGTCTCAATAGGTTGTCTAACTTGTCCGAGCGTTTAGTCGAAACTTGCTTTGTTGGTAGTCCTGGTGAATTCCTAGTCGGTCCTAGTCATCCAGCCATTCGTGCCGGGCATCATGGGCATCCTCGTACCCAGAAAGGTAATCCAAGACAGCCAAGAGGACTGCAAAGAGGTACGTGCCCCGCTGCATTGTTGGATGACCCACTGCGCACAGTGCGAAGGAAGGCATCTGACTCGATGCTACGATGGCAGTACAAGCCGGGCCCACGGCAGAGTCTGCAGTGTCAGTACAACGGGGATGGTCTGTGGCTGCCCACGCTTGGTCGAAGAGAGAGAGAGAGAGAGACAGCGAGAGTGCACAGAGAGATATTTCTAATAGAGCTCGACAAGCCGCCTCTAGCTCCTTGAGCCCTAGGTGATGACAATCCTCCTTGAACTGCCTTAACAATTAAAGTGAGGTGATTTGGGCCGCAGGACAGGTCAGCACTGGCTCAAGCGATAGAAGACTGGCCGCGGCACTTTGTGACAAACGATGCCACGGCCTTAGAGTTTCGAAGCTACGGAAGCTGTTGTTTCGATTCAAGGGCGTCCAGGATTGCTGCCTCTCTGCGCACCCCATGGCTTGATAATATTGTGTCGGATCAGCTTTTCTTCTTCCGGCATGTTTCAGTAGAGTCCTGATTGAGAATGGTAGGCCCCGAAGCTCTCAGCTTTTGAATACGTTCACCCCTGTTCCAAGCCGTGGGAATGAACGAGTACATAATCCGTACATGCTCGCGGGCTTTGCAACGGAGTGCTTCGGGGATCTGGAATTCCTGGTAAACAGACTGAGAGCTGGCTACTCAAGCTTTGGGGCTGACGCCGTGTCCAGGCCCAAGCAGATCACGGAAATCCGTCAGTTCTTGCAGATTGCCCGACGAAAGGATGCGCGCTCGGCTGCTCGGAAGCAAGCTCGCAAGGATAGGCCTCGGAAGGCTGTGGCCGAAACAGTCCCAGAATCGTCTAGTCTTCCAATTCAGCTTTTGCTGACTAGTCATCAGGTGAAGATCAAGAAGAACGGTCTGCAGACGAAGTTCAAGATCCGCTGCAGCCGCCGCTTGCAAGAATATCCACCCCGCCCTTCAAGACTTGCACGTCCCGTGGACCCTGGAGCGTTTGACTGGTCCCTGACATTAGTGGGGCACCGCAACAGCATACTGTTGGATGCATCAGGGCTTCATGAAGTGTCCAGTCCGCGTCGCACGCGACTCAGCCTCAGTGCGAGGATACCTATACACGCTCATCATGACCGACAAGACCAAAGCAGAGAAGTTGAAGCAGTGCCTCGGCGTTCGAGAGCCTCTGCAACCATTTCTGCTGCAGACAAGTTGCGGCACCCGAGACGTTGCATGTTACAAGACGTTGCGTGTTCGGTAGGCAATACCAGGTCATTGCCGCCTTCCCTTCAGAAGAAGGAGATCTGAGGAACTGCCGGCCGGGACTTGAAGCCAGCTGCGTGATGTGAGAAAAACTGCTGCTTCAGGATGCGCTGTGATAAGATTAGACTGTTTTGGGGGCAAACCTGCACATCTTAAGCTCCGACCAGATTCACAAATTTTTTTCGCTGGCAGCAGGGCCCAGAGAGTCCAAGACCGGTTTCGTTCAAGAGTATTTTCCCCTTCTCCGAGGAAGGGCCGCTTCGAGGTGCATGGCTTTGGCAGCACCAAGCTCACGCCACAGGCCGGAACTCGGGGATGTGCCCTGTCATGTTCTGGCCCGGAGAGATGGAGGCCTGTTGTAGATCATCTTACATCCCTGAAGAAAGCAGGCGGAAGGTTCTGAAGTTTGATTCACTCGAACGCTGAAAGTCGAGTCGCAGCCCTCTATCTGAGGCTTCAGGTCGAGGTCAGGGTTCAGATCCGCTTGCAAGAGCGAGCCGACATTCTGTGGAGGCTTCTGCCGACCATCCGGGCTTCTTTCAGGGGGTCCTGCGCTGGCGGCAGTCTGAGATTTCCTGGGGCAACCCATGCCATAGATTCAATCTTAGGTTTGCTGTGCTTCGGCCACACTTCGTGGAGGCCTCATGTCTGTGAACTGACATCACTCGCAACCACAACCGAACCACAAGCTTTGGAATTTCCTACTCTTCAAAACAGGAGCTAGAACGAACTCAGACTCGCAATGCTGGGCGATGCCTACCTACCGGCCTACCTGCCTGCCTGCCTGCCTGCCTACCTACCTGCCTGCCTGCCTGCCTGCCTGCCTGCCTGCCTGCCTGCCTACCACCCTAAAAAGAGAGGCAGCAAGGCAGACTGACAGACCTTTTGATGTAGAAATAGATAGACAGAGCGATTGAGAGGTCGATACATAGATCAGATTAGATTGGATTGGACTGGCTTGGTTGGATTTGGGTTAGATTCGATTCGATAGGTAGGTAGGGAGATAGACAGGATCGATAGCGATTAGATGACGATACATACATGCCTGCATACAGATCATCCCTCCCTAGCCCACGCGACACCGAAACGGCGACAGAGCTAAACAAATGATCGAGCCAGCGAAATCAAGGTTTGGGCAATACGAGTCCGGCAAGAAAAGCCTGAGTCGGGCCAGTGCCGCTGTGCCTCGGCTAGTAGGAAACCGGCGAGTCCGGATTTTGAGGAGTGGGGGCTCTCGAGACATACGCTGACCATTCTAACCTTTGTCCTTCGGCTTGCGTGGACACCTCAGCCATGTCTTGGCTTTCTGCGAGAACCATTTCAGTTTAGCGTGATCCTTCCAGCCCGGCCGACTCGCGTCTAGAATCTGCACTCAGATTTAGTTGGGACGCTCGTCAAAATCCAACGGTCTGCTCAGAAAGACAGGGTAGCCAAGATCAGCTGACGTTGATGCGACTCCTGATTGTCAGCGTTCCAGGTGCTGGCTGGTTCCACCAAGCCGCTTCAGAGCGAGGAGTGTGGGCACGGATAGGGTCCTAAAGGCCCCACAAAGGCCAATGTCATGTTGCCTTGTGCAGTGCTGAGACAAGGTAAGCCTTCGTCAGCACACGTAGGGTCTTTCGCCAGGACGACATACTCTTCCTCGAAAACGTTCCCACCTTCAATGGAGCCACTACCCCAGTCTGAGTTCGAGTTGTGTTGCGGGTGAGGGGTTGGTGTTACTAGTCGCTAGCAGCGACGCCGGCAACTGTCTGTTGGCAGCGTCAGGCGGACTCCAGCGTGTTTACATCTCGCAAAACAGGGTGTTGCTCGTTACTGTAACAGCTTCACGGGTTCAATAAAAGCAGCCTCTCGTCCGTGCCTTTTGAATATTGCTCAAGCAGGAGCGGCGAACTTGGAATGTACGAACAGACATGCCTTCAACTGCATGGGCCCCTCAGCCAAAACCTCTTGCCAGGGCACCGGCTGCATGACCCGGGCAGACCCTGCATGGCTTCTCTGTCCCGAACGCCAGCTGGAACGTACCACTGAAGTTCACATCCGTGGATGCTTAGATGTGAGGCCTGCGCCGTGTGCCGAGTGCCATGGCTGATGCCTGGGATCCTTTTGCGGACCCTGCGGACGCCCCGAAAGAGCCAGAGCCGCCTCGGCGACCGACCGTGGAGCCGAAAGAGGAAATCGAGGGCGAGCCCGAGGCCGATGTGGACAGGGCTGGAGGGTCTATGTTAACGAGAGAGAAGAACGGGGACCTTACTGAGAGGTGATGCACTGCTCACCGGACTCCCAAAGCGCTGCGTTGGCTCCAGGAGCTGGGGCCCGGGATCGCCATTCCCAGCCTCACCCAGCTGGAAGAGGCCTCCTCGAACTTTGGAAAACCTTTGGAAAGCAGCCAGCAAAGCGTGGACAAAGCGACGAGGTGCTGCAGGCAGCGAAGCTGAAACCCTGCCCGGAGCTTGTGCAGAAGTGACTCGGAGGCTTTGGAATTTCGGTGCTTCGAAGTTTCTGCTAGCTAAGGCTGTCGGGATGCTTGGGTCAGCCAACGGCTTGCAGGATAGAGGCATGACGAAGTGTCCAGAAGTTCCACCTAGGTTTGGCTTCAGCGCCGTGCATAGGTGCTTGAGTTCAGAACCGGGAACATTCGCTTCATGCTCATGCACGCATCTGCGCTGGCTTCTTCTTGCCTCACTGTCGCTCCTCCTCTCCTCTCGTTGCCAACCGAGGAGTTTCGAGGGTGATGGCGCTGCAGTTGCAAAGCTGCTGGAGGAGCCCCGTCCATCACTGAGGGCCCGGCTTGTACTTCAAGTCTCGCTCTCGATCACCCTGCAAGGAGGGAGATCCCAACAGCATCTGGCTGCGGGAGGAGAGGTTGAAGGGCAGCGCCTGGCCGGAAGCTGCGATAGATCTGCTCACCTGTGCGTTGACCCGAATCCGAGTGTCTGCAAGTGCGGGATTCAGATCTGACCAAGGGCAAGAACCCAGCCGTAGACGATACATGCATTGCCGTGGAATGTTGCCAACGTAAAGAGCCACACATGCGGCGGAACAACCAAACCTCTAATGGGTAAACCGTGAGACTAGGGCGACTAGGGACTACTCAAGTTGAAGTTACTTATGCGTGGCTTGCTCCCCTCTGCAATCACTCTGGCTTTTTTGGAAAGGCTGGCTCGAGTCTCCACATCCCTTCTTTTCTCTCACGTCCTCTCGCCTCTATCGAGTGCCTTGCCCAAATATTTCAACTTCTCTGTACCTTTAGAGACCCTCCTTTCGAGCGCCGTCTTGGATTAGCCTCTTTCGACTGGTTGGCTTCCCTTCTTCAAAGGTTCTCTCCTGCATTTCGAAGGCTCTGATTCACTACATATGAGCGGTTTCCTCACATTTTGCACGGCTAGCGGCGAGCACCGATTTCGGTCGGTCGTCCGAGCATTTTGTTCCCTTCTCAGCAGTTGCCAGAGCTTGCAAAGCGCTTGGTTCCTTCTCGCAATTCCTCCCTCTCAACTTCCCCAGCCCCTCTCTCAACTTTGAGCGATCTGCTCTTGCGAAAGTCCGAGGGGTTTGCTCCAATTCCTTAAGTTCTCTCATCAGCTTGAAGCGGATTGCCGCATTGGTGTCAAACGTTTCCGTGTGTGCCAGCCTGAAGTTGTGGAGTTTGCACTTACCGGTCGCGGAATTTGCCTGAGACTTTGGGAGGGTCGACTCAAAGCCCGCCCTCTGATCACGCGATGTTTCTGATCAGAGGCGATGGATGCTGCCAATGCGCCATAAGCTGGGAGGAGTATACACCCCTCATCGCCGCGTGTATGGAGAAGCCGCCGGGCCGACATCAAGATCATGTAGCTTCAACAGAAGCACCCGGCTGAGGTCTTCGTGCTGGCTTTCGATCTAGAGAGCCCAGCAGAGCCCCTTTACTATTGTCCGAACCTGCCGTATGGCTCATCTGAACCCTGCAAGGCATGACGACATCTGCGAACTGCTCCTCCGACACGCAGCCACACAACTGTGCCTCGCCAAAGCAGCTTTTCGAAGTGGCCTACGACTGTCACTCGTGGGCTCTTGGGGTGAAGACTGGTCATTATGTTGGAGTGGCTACTTTTGGGTGCGGTGCCTTCTTCCATTGAAGGCTTACCTGCGCCGTGGCCCTGCTGGTAAACTTGAGGTTCAGGTCACCCTGTTCCAGCACGAGCAATACAGGGCAAGTGCGGATAAACTGCTGCCATAAGCTAAGGAGCAGAACGGCAGCTTTTTCGAGCGTGTTCCGTCCCTTTGCGCCCGACCAAACCCCAGGACCTGCACCCACTCAACAGTGACCCTGCAGGAACGTGGTCTGCTGTGGTCTCAACGAGTTTGGTCCATACAAGCGCTTGGCTGCATTACGGGAGGCTTGTGGACGAGGATTATTGTTCTGTTCATTCAGGTTTCCGGTTCCCAAAGCAGCCGACTGTGGATGTGCCCAGCCTAGACTTGAAAGTGTGTCAGGCAGAAGCTCGGTCCCATAGATCCCAAAATGCCGGATCAACCAGACAACCACCCACGCCCACCGAGGCATTTTACTGTCATCGACATCGCACGCCAGGCAGCGGTTGATGTCGTTTCATGGTGTGTTGGGTTAACCAGTGGAGTCCATGCTTGAAACTCTTACGCACTTGAGCTGAACCAAAATCATCTCAGGTGAAAAGCAAGCTTTTGCGGCGCTTGGAGGAAGCTGGTGCACTGCCTGCTGTACCAAGTTGCAAGAAGTTAAGATCGCTTGAGTCGGGGTTGCGTTGCTTCGTGTTTTGCAGAGTGGACCGGCAGCATCGTGGAATGTTTTTGGCTAACGGTGACTAACGCAAGATTTGACCGTTGTCTTCAAGTGTCCACTGGTCTCAAGACTGCACTGAAATGAGTAAGAATGGATGAGGATTGGAGTGCAGACAGTCGAGGGCATACTGCCCCATTCAGTCTGCCATGCTGGCTGCACCCGAGGCACAATGTCCCGAGCCACCATGGCCCCGCAGCGAGTCAGTACCCCGACTGCAGGGTTGGACTTGACATATTCCGAGAACTCGCGCGTGCAGGGGGTACCGAGCTCCGCGCACGATTTGACTTTGGATCGAAATGCCGCCGAGGCTGGACCGAATGAATGCTGCCTTTAGTACTCTTGAGGGTTGTGCCCCGTGCCGCCGCCCACCGCTCATGAGATCATCCAAGAGTTTGTGCTGTCATCACTGTCATCGGTATCAGGAATCAAGATTTTGCAATCGTCGACCTGCGTTGCCGACCGACCGAAGTTTCACCCGGGATCAAATGAAAGATTTTGCCATGCATTGAGGAGCGGGAGGAGGCAGCAGTTGTGGCAGTCGAGGCCGGATGGGACTTAGAGTACTGCAGTCGTTCAATGTCGGAATCTTCTAGGGTTACCCTATATGGCTGCCCTTAAATAAAAAAGGTGGCAGACCGACGCAGGTTGTGGTGAACCTCTTTCTGAGGCCAAACTAGAATTTCTCTCAGGTGCAAAGCACGCTACATCTTTGAACTCACGACCTGCCCGGCATGATCCGGCAATCCCACCTGCCGGCAGGTTCCGGCTCCTTTGCTGCAACCTCCTGCAGCTGCAGCCGCGACAAAGCGACTCGTCAGTGCGATGCAAGGGCAAAGGCCGGATGGTTGCTGTTGCGCTATCACTATCCACAAGTTGAGGTTGCTCAACCTGCCCCCGTCAGGTCCTACTCCGTTGAAGCGCGGACCAAGGCCTTCAAGCAGTTCATGCTGGAGCACTTTGGCATACTTTGGCAGGACTGCTGTTGGGATCGGGGCCTGATCAGGGGCCAGTGCAGATCTCAACTGATCAGCATGGTGTGAGGTTGGCACATGTTTTCATTGCAAGAGTGCGTTTGTTTTAGTATTTATTTGTGCCCGCGCCTCGCAAGCTGGCTGAGAGAGTGCAAGAGTATGCAAGAGCGAAGGTGCAGGTCCATCGAATTGGCGTTTAGACAACCATGCACGCAACAATGCTATATACTTTGTACTTTTCAGCCAGCTTTGCTTAGGTGGCATCCGGACAAGAGGGCACCAGCAGAGCGTGTGACAGCCACCGCAGTGTCCCAGACAGAATTTGGATGCCGACATGCTGCACTTGCCCTGCTTCGGATGTGTCCTGAGCATCTCGGATACACCTGATCTGGGGTTCGATATCCATACTTTCAATTGTCCGGCAGGTGTTTCAAATGAGACACATCACCTCACCAACCTTTGAGGCCTGAATCGCGAGTGCGGCGCTAGACCGTTCCTAACGTGACAACACGTGTTTAGCGAAAGCTTGTTTACATGTGCTGTATGTGCAGGCTCACGGACATCTAGGGCGATTTTGTACATCTCTCTTTCTCTCCCTCTATCTACTCGTGGCTAGCTAAGTAGCTATCTATCTGTATAACAAGCACGATTGTGTAGACATAAGTGGCGTAAAGATACATGCGTACATGTATTCGCGCGCACATGCGCCACGTACATGCATACGTTAGGTGCGAATGTGTGTTTGTATGAGCAAACACTATAGATATCATTTTGCTCCAGGTATGTAATTGCATACAATGTCTGCAGACCTTGCCTGGATCGTCCGAGTGTGAGCGTATGTGAGCGTCGTAAATTATCCTCGTGGATTCCTATCCAGATTGAGACGGGGAGGCATCCTTTTCGGGCAGGGGTGGGCCTCAAAGGGCTTGGCCCCCGCCTCTCCAGCCGGCTCCAAGAAGGGAGTTGGCTATAGCCTTCAACTACGGCCCGGCTGAGGAGGAAACGGGACAAGCCAGACTTCAGGGACAGTCCCGGTTCCTAGCTGGCAGGGACCAAAGTGGGGGACGGTACGTACTTCGCTCCAACTCGGAGGCGTCCTTCCGCGGTGATGCTCCTGAAGACTTCCCATGTAGTGGTTTCTCGGCAGCGGAACCGGAAAAGGTTGACTTTAGCTCAACGCCTGATGGGGATCCAAATGGATGTTTATCGGTGCTTTATCCGGCAGACCATGTTGGAGAGTCCGATGCGCATGGACAGAATAAGGTTGGCAACGACCAGGATCGCGTGCGGGCGCCGTCGGACTTCGTTCTGACAGTCCCCACAGTGGCAAAGGACCACGGAAAGCGAAGCGCGTTTCGACCAAGAGTTAAGCAGCTCAGTGTCAAGATGATGCATGACAATAGAACGATATCCTTGGAGCGGCACGTGGTGCACTGTTTCACGCGAAGCCACGGACTACCTGGACACTGAACGAAGACCAGCGTGGCATGGCTACCTCGTGGCGACCGTAGCATGGTTGGGAAGCAAGGCCCTGAACCTCAAGGACACAACGGCGTCCAACCTGGGCATCAATGATATGTCCGCAGGGCGGCTTGTTTTCCATGACATGGCGTGATGGACCCAGGGGGGAGTGCCATCCTGGCCGTGTGGAAGTGGGCTGCAAAGATGCTTGAGAGACAGGTGACAGGTGCCCGAGTTTGCTGAAGGCAGGTGAAGACGCTCTTCCAGACAATTGCTGAGCGGTCCGGGCAATATGCCAGTCGGCTGACAGAGCAAAGAACCGACCAACGAGCAAAAATGATACATGTGTGTATATATATATATATATATATATACATACATATGTATATATAATTAGGTATGTCCATTGTCCATGACATATCTATATCTATATCTGTATCTATATCTATATCTATATATNNACACAGACATACGCACACACACACACGCATACATGACACGTGGATACATGCACGTAAGACCTGTACATGCATACCGATAGCACCAGTCCTGTGTAGACTGAGGTGTGCCAATGGCTGCTCGGTCCGGCTCGATCCTTTCTGGCTGGCTGAGGCTCCATGGGTTGTGGTTGAAGCCGTGCCAATAGGACCCTGAGCGTGCCGCCAGGGAATTTGGATGCCAGGTGTCGTGGGATAGGTTCTGCAAAGTTGAGTCATACACCTTACTTAGACGCAATGTGTTATTCCGAATATGCCTTATCGTTGCGGCTCTGAGCGATTGTCACAATCAGTGGACCCAGCCCAAGAGCTGCCACTCTTTCGTACACATGTAGTTCCGTTCATCCATATCCGTTTAAACTTCATGGCTCCTTTTTTTCACGTTCCCCCACGAGGCCCTTACACAGGGGTGAGCCAGTCGGGTCCCCAATGCCTCGGAGAACAGAACAGAACAA